ATTTAGCTAAATTCTTTGTGTGTAAGTATGAAAGTGCCATATGAAAAGCAGTTTGCGTATGGATTGATTCAGAAACAACTGATGCATTCAGACAAAGAGGGGTTGAGTTGAGTGATAAGTTGAGGTTGTGTCACGTATTTACGTGTGTGCAGAATAGATAATCTAAGCATGGCTTGAGAGATAGCTATAACAAGCGGAAATAATTTGCTTGCAATTAATTCAACACTTTGCTGAAAACTTTTCAGAAATGTTAAATTTCTTATTATTTTTAAATTTTTCAAAAAGTAAGTATGACCTCAAGTTTAAAAAAAATTATAAAATGTTTTCAGGGAATATTTTTTGAGAAACTAAGTTTTGCATAGTGTATTTAATAATTAAAAAATTTTTTGAATAACATTATTTTTCATTTTTGTATGCCTAGAAAAGTGGAAAAATTTTTTTGGTATACTGAATCCAAATTTTCAAGTCTTGCCTTCTTAACCTTTCCTTTCCTTTCCTTTCATTCTTTACGTAAAAACATTTGTAAATAACACGTATTTTATAAATATAATCATAATTAATTATAATTGTCATTTAATTAAAAAAGTCTGGTTTTTAACATTTAAATACGCAATTAACAACAAAAAAATAACTTTGTTTTTTTGCTTATTTTTATGTTTTATTTAATAAAAAAAGTATTTAATTATTTATTAACTGCGTACTTATTTTTTATTTAATTATTCACTTCATTATTTATTTATTGTTTTATTTATTTGATAAAAAAATGAACTGCTTTAGTTTTATTTTGTTTTGAATTATAATGGTATATTCTGTTAAAATTGAACATTTGACTTTAATATGTTTTTCTAATAAATACCATATTAATATTTAAATTTAAATACACAAGCTACACATTTTATTTATTTAAATACAGATGTTCAATTTTAACTTTGATGAAAGTGAAAAATGTTTGATAAGTTATTGACGATATGATAATATTAAATGTAACAAGATCATAAATACTAAAAGGAAATTAAATATTTACAGAATTATTTCAGTTAACAATTACTGTTAAAAAGTCTTATTGATGATTTATGTTTTTCTCAGATGTCTATTCAGTCTTAAAAATTAATAAAGTTATTAATTACTTTATGACTTGAGATTAGCACTTTTAAAATGTGAATGCCATTAATAAATTAATCCGACTGAAATGACTGCCAAAATTGTGCATTGATAAGTTGAATTTAATCTCTCATCTGTGTTTTTGCTATAATAATTAGAAGTTAATTACTGTGAACATTTAAGGTATTATATTTGCTGTATTTAAGTTCAGCAACCACAATTAAAAATAAAAATTATAATTACTTAGGATCAGATTTATATATTCTGTGTGGTACTTTCTACAAATATTTTTTACCACATGTTTTTGTGACAATTTTTCGTCGGAATCGAGCACTGATCTCTTCTGAATTCCATTTTATGTTAAATTAGATATGCTCATACGTAAGTGCTCATACTTATACACTTTTATACGTGAAGTAATTCTCCTTTGGAATCGAACATTGATCTCTTCTAAATTCCATTTTATGTTAAATTAGATGCTCATACGTAAGTGCTCATACTCATACGCTTTCATATGTAAAGTTTTTCAGCAACTTTTCCGTAATTATTATTCACGAAAAGTGTACAATTTGTTTGAAAATATTTAAAAATTTTATTTTCTGTCTTAATAATTTATTTTTTAACTTTTTACGTATGAAAGCGCAACTCCAAACTTGTTTATATTTGAGATAATCAAAAATAAGTCAGCAAAACTAATAAAAAATTCTAATTCTTGCTATTATTATTACAACATAGTGCAAATTTGATATCAATTATTGATAATTTGGTAGTTAATTAGTTAGCTGAAAGCTATAAAATATCTAAATGATATGTGGTGATATTTTATAGCCTCAAATATAGCAGATTAAAAGCACATAATATATGCATTACAGTTGTTGAGCAAAATATTAGCGTTTTCTTTCAAAATTTCTTATTTCAAATGTTTGCGATTCTTTCGTAAATTTCGTATAATTATTTGTAACATTTGAAATTTTGATTCTGATTCTGAATCATATGATTTTTGATTTTCAAGGCCTTTGACAACAAAATTAGATAATTAGAAATCAAATTAGATTTTAGGTCAATTTTAATTACTATTCATTTGAAATAGAGAATAATTAATATGTGCGCTTTACATGTTAAGCATATTTGCAACATTTTAAAACAATAACAAATTAATAAAATTTTAATAATCAAAAATTTATTTTGCTTCGTTAAATATACTAATTCTTCAAATATAATCTAAAAAAGAATGCTTTTTTTCATTTAATTAAGAATAAAATGAAAAGGTATTATTAATATTTTTCATAATTTCTTAATGTAAACTTATATTCTAAAAATTTGTCATTATTTTTTGCTCATAAAGTTATTAATGCTATTCGTTGATACTTTCCGTAATACTTTTGATGACTTCTGAAGTAAACTTTTTGTGCTAAACACGAGAAGACGTGAATTTTTGAGAACTTTCAAGAGCTTCATTTTTCAGATTTTCTGCTAGTCAGCTGACGACGATAAGAACTTTCATTTTAATTTTCATGCTTGAATCCTTTTGAATATCACTTTTTGTACTTATTTCAATTATTTGCTTATCTGAGAGTATTCTTTAAAAAGTGAGATTAATTCTTATTTTAGCAGAAAGACAAACCTATAATGCATGCACATTTCTTATCAGCAATCTTGACAATTTTTGTCATGGACTTTTTAATATGTACAGGTGAAATAATTTTATTTTAACAAATCATATTTGTTACTGTATTATATTAAGTAATATATTCAACTTTAAATTAATAAAACTTTTTATTAAATCTACCAATAGTGATATTTGGTAGAAATTAAATTTATTAATGATATTTTCTGGTTTATACTTGAGACGTTGTTTAGAATATATTGTCAAAAGACATTTATTGTTGCACATATGGAAAATTAATCAAACAATTACAGTAATGAGAAATTGAAGAGGTATTAATAAATAAAAGTTTTAAATATCATTCTAAAGTCTGAAAAAGTCATTGGTTTATTATTTATCATTTTTCATAGTGTTTTAAGTCTATACTGAATTAATTAACAGTTTCAGAGGCACAGTTACAGAATGAAGTGATGCAAGCTGCTTGTACGGTAGAAGAAGAAATGGCAACCCCTTGTCGATGCTGCAAAATATCTTGCTGGTACAATACTGCAAATGTATGTTATTTTCTTGCTTTATTATTCACTTTTTTAAAAAAAAAAATGATAATTAAAGGATACTGTAGGGATTAAAAAAAGAAACAAAATAATAAGTGATAAAGAATTATTTGTTTGATAACAGTATATACTAGTTACTTGTTCAAGGATTTTATCACTAATAATCAATAATGCATTTGTGGTAATAGACTGATAAAAGTACTGAGCTGTTAAAAAATATTTTTATATTAAAATGTTTATAAACGTGAGAAGAAAAAGTAAATACAATTTCAAAAATTGGATTATCGAAATTGATGATACATTGAACTTTTTCACATGTATCCTTGCATAGGCAGCAACAAATAAATTGGGACACGTGCCTGGTCAAGCAAGTCAACATGAAGCTCTCGCTACTTTACGTTTAATCCGTTTATGTATTCTGGTGGAATGCGAGGAAATATGCCCAACATTGCAACGTGGATTGTTTAAACCTGTATGAAGTTTCTATGTGCTTAAGTCATAACTACAATTATGAATTTTATAAGATTTTTTGGAAGTATTAATATGTTTTACATTATTTGTCCATTTCTGAGTTAATATAGATATAAAGTACGCTTCTACTACTAAATTTTTGATTTACGCTAATTTAATTAACAGTTTTATATAAAATTAAAAGTGTATTTGCATCTTATAAAATTACAATTGATACTATCAATAAAGCACATTCCGTGACCTTTGATGATCTGTTATCATGAAAACTGATAATAAAGATCTTGCAAGTTCCTTCTATCAACGAAAATATGATAAAGTTGATAAAACATTTAAGGTTAAATTTTACAGCATTTTTGTCTAATAGAAGTCACAAAATTAGTGAATTCTTTACAACATTCTGCGCTTCAGAAAGTACAGAAATACAGAAACCCTTAATAAAAGTAAAAATAGTTGAGCATATATTGTTGCTCATTTATTGGTAATCAAAGAAAACTTTAATATTAATATCGCCTTATAGAAAACTTTTCTAAATGATTAAAAGTTTGCACCCAATAATATCTTTAAATTATGCAAAAGTTTTGCTTCTGATAAAGCATTTTTAATTATTATCTCCAGTAATGGATGGTTTCGGCTAAAAAATTCCCTTACTTTAATATTAATAAAATTCCAATTTGGCATTTTCGTTTCATAAATTTTCAGAATAAATAAGAATTAATTTGTTAGCAAGTGTGGTAAAGAATGCAAAGATGTGAATATTATCAGCAAGCAAAGAAATGAAATTAAAAGTAAATTTGAATTGAAATAATAATATGAAATGATTAACAAATTAATTTACTAATTGGATAGAATGCTTTTTTCATTGTGATATTCACAGATATTATGTCATAGATATTTTTGCTTCATTTCCACAAATGCATTTTATTTGAACAAAATATAAAGTAATGAATTAGTTATGTTTTGTGCTTTCTGAGAATTGAAAGTTGTAAAGTACTTTTCAAAATTATCTTTGCAATCAAAATCTCAAATTACGTCTGAAAATGAAGTTGGATTATACTAAAGTCATAGATGAGTGTTGTAAATGATCAGTTAACAAGCAATTCAAAGATATAATTCAACTCTAATACAGTATCAAAATTTACATTTAAAATGGATGAACAAGATGTCATTTGAATTTAAAAATTGTAGCCAAAGTTACTAATTAAAATCGCAAAGTGTTGGCAGCTTCAAATGTACAGTAGTTGAACTGTGCATACCGTGCACTTTAAATAAAGCAATTCAAACTGTGCATTTCGTATTTTTATTTGTGCCTGTAGCAAACTATATGCTGTATGTTAGTGCTGAGGTTGACAGTAGTCACCAACCATTTATTTCACGTTCTTTTTGAAATAACAGTTGCGGGAAAAAAGTGACTCAAACGTTATTCAAAACGTAGCATTACAATTTTAAAATATGATTTTCAGTTTTGTTTTTATTAGACTTAACTGCGTGAGCTGTTTGCTCGATTAAAAATGACGTTTCAAGCACTTTCAATACCCACAGAATCGAGATTTCCATACTTTCTGACCATTTCATTATTTTTGATTTCCATTTAGATTCCCTCTATCATTCAGTCGGGAGCAGTTCTGCTCGAGAAGATAGATTGGTGCTTTATGCGCTGAGTGAGTTTGACTGTCAAGTATTTTGTTATAACTGCTTTCACTGAGCATCTTTTCGTGAGCAGTTACTTGCTCTCTGATATGTATCATCTGAAACCTTCTTATTTCCATCTTCTAACTTGAATACAAGTATACCTGAGGTACCAATCAGAAGAACAGATGGAAAGAAGTAGTGCGTCTTCACTATTTAGTGCGCTGGAAATACTGTACAATTACGGAGTCTATTTTCAATGTTTCACTATACTTATAATAATAATAAAACTTTGTTTATGCATAAGTATTCAGTCTAAGCTATTATTCTATCTGTCTAAATATTGTCAACATTTTATGCACAATTAAAATTATCCTTTTATATGTATATAAAGAAATTTTCATTATTATTATTATTATTATATATACACGAAAAATAATGAAAATGTAGTACTGATTCATTTTTGATCTCATAAATGTAATAAATCAGGTAAATGAGGTAGATAAGGTGCAGTAATTTTGTTGAAAACATCAATGTTTTGCAGTTAGTTTTGAGAAAATTGTACTTCTGAATTGCTTACAATCTTTTTGAGAATATTTATTCCAGAAAATAGTAACTAAACTAAGAGAATTTTGGGGGAATACCAAAGATGGAATACTTCTTTATATTTCAAGAATTTCAGCAAAAGCAAAAATCGGTTCTAAAGAGAATACAATTAAACTTCTCAAAAGATCAAGCTGCGCTACCACAACCTGAAATCCTAGCGGACTGTAAGATGCCCAAGACAGGAATCGAACCTGTGTCGCCACGGCCACAACGTGGAGTACTAACCACTATACTACTTGGGCCGTCTGGGATTCTTCTTCTATCTATTGAAATCCAATTTTAAATGTAATTTGAATATACGCAAATTACAGATCCCGTGGGATCAAACTTGGCTGATTGCCGAAATCAAGACTGCAGTAAATCTCCTTGCCTACTTGTGATAAATTAGATATTCAGAATCATTCAAATCACAAATAACTGATAGAGAAAGAAAGTTTGATCAGACTTTTTTACATTTAGATGTTCTGTTAATATTGCCTACATAGAAAGCATATTCCCTGTCTTCAATTCTCTTTCTTTCATAATTAATTTTATAAAGATTTAACTTTTTTAACCACAAATAATCACTTCAAATTAAACCATACGTCATTTTATTCACGCAGTTTATTTATATAATTACTCATTATTGACGTATTATTGACGCACGCAGTTTATTTATATAATTACTCATAATGATGCATTAACGTTGACTATTATTATTCCGACTTTTCAAGTAATAAGAAATTTACTTATTAATTTAGAATAATTATAAGTGGGACCAAAAAACTCAATATATTAGCTGTCATTGCTCAAATAGTATCTATTTGAGAATGAAATTCCAAATTAATGAGTAAATTTCTTCTCCTTCAAGACTTATGCATAATCACAATGATTTATGGTCACTAATAAAATGATATTAAGTAAGATATGTGGTGAATATTTTAAAGCTTGCATGGGAGCAATGCAATTTGTAAGTTTTCGAATTGAAGGTTAAAGTTCAATCTGTCATAAAGTATTATTTTTGATTAAAAAATATGAATTCATAACTTATTCAACTTCATTACTACTAAACTAATTTGAATTGATAACAACTTTGATAAAATCTTTATCAAAAATTAAGTACTTAAAAATTTGCTAAAAGTTTGATAGACTGTTTTCATTTACTATCTAGATTACTGCACATCTATAAAATAGATATTTAATTCTTGTTCTATTCTACTTTTAAAATTGTTACTTATTATAATAAGTAATTATTTTAGCATTTTTACTTGTCATTCTTAAAATATTAAAATATTTGTACGATATTTTCTCTACTTGCTATAACAAAAGAGTACGATACTTACAGTTGGATGATTTGCTAAGCTAATTATCAGTAATTAATTCGTCTAAGTAATTTCTGATGATAACAAATTATAAATGTAAGCTATATTCTTAATTCGTGCACTTGAAATAATAAGTAGAATGAAGATAACTGCTATTATTAATGCTAAAATATTGTAAAAACAAGTCTTAAAATACTTTAATCAAGTCTTGAAATATTGGATCAAAAATCCCTTAAAATAAAAAAATATGATATTTTAGCATATATATTTAAACCATATTTAAATTTTAAACATTAAACGATTAAACAAAAATAAAAATAAATTTAAATATAATAATAAAAGATTAAAAATGAAATTATTTGTAGTTGAATGAAAATGAGTAGACGGAAAGTATACTGTTGCTGACTGTAACTATGCAGTATATTTTGTAGTTCGCGAATCTCCCGAAGCCCATCGAATATTATAAATGTATAATTGATATTTTATTTATTTTTTATCAAAAATTCATGAACGAAATCATTAAGTATGTCTATTATATGCAATGTCAACTTTGATTTGCTGATATACTTCACTTTATTCTAACTTTTGTTCAAATTTTTTAATCTTTCAAACACATATTTTTAAATATATTTAATTTAAATATATATTCTAGAATATCATGATTGATCTGAGCCCAAATCTTAAAAATGCACATTACAGTATTGAATTCTATGATTGTCGACCATTTTGGTCGACAATCATAGAATTCAAATCAATTCC